ATTTTTTGCCGATTTTTGACACACCACGCCAAAAAGGTTGCCCATCACTGGTTTAGGATGCATTTTAGCTCCATCAGTTCTATGCATCATGGATGCCTTAAACTTGCTCTATGGAATAAGTAATAAGATCTATGAAGTATAAGAAACTAGAGGTCTGACAAGGTTTGTGTAAACTGGTAAATGTTTTGTAATCTTGGGAAGTGATGTTCTGAGTTCTTTTAGAACAGGCTATATACTCCTGTTCATGTATGTGCTCATGTATATGTGTGGGAGAGAATGCAGATCGTCATGATAATAGCCACTTAGCTCATCTTTCTTTTGCATCAGCTTAATGCATTAGCTTTATACTAATCACTATACATAATATAGTAATTTTCCAGTACATGCATGGTGTTATGCTTAACTTAATATGCAATGCCATATTAATTGTGCTTTCATAATTACTTGTTCACTTCCAGAATCAGTATACAATGCTGTTTTTTATTCTTAAAGCCCTTACCAACTTTGCACATCCTTCTCCCATAAGCTCCCCATAATATTAATATTAAATATTATTTAATATTAAGGTTTTAGGCAGAAGAAAGTGGCCCTTCATATGTTAATAAGATTATTGAGGTCATAGTAACTAATAGAGATCTTCTCAGTGATGGTACCAAATTTGTAACCTAACAATCCCAATACTGCTTTCTTGCCAGATCAAATCCACTAGGTTTTCCCAACTTTTAAATGATTAGTTTTTAAGATACCTGATGCTCATTTTAAACTCCCCTTTTTTAGCTAGGAAGTCTATGAACATCACCAGTTTTATTATTGTATGCCTTTTAATTAATATGTAGTTGCAAAAGTTAGACACATTTATTAAGCTATCTCAAAAATGAATGTGACATAGAAAGATACTAATTCCAATATAAAAATCAGGGCACAAGGATATGAAAGGGCACCTGGGGACCCAGGTGGATAAGGAGATATTTCTGGCTCTATATACATTTTTGACTTATGCACAAAGAGATATAAATAAAAATATAGATAAAAAAATTACTAATTTATTGAACATACTGACATCCACTTATGAATATTTTACAATGAAAAATGGATTGTTTATATAAAAATATTTTTTTTTTAAATGAATACTTTACAGTGCACAAAGACCAAAGCAGCTCTGGTTCTTTCCTTTTGGTCTTCCACTAGCAACTGAGCAATATTAGGTAAATAAGGTAAAGGTAAAGGTT